AGTCACCTTGAGGCAAACGATAAATGGCAAGAGTGCGTCGTGCATGGGCCCGGTACCTTGGTCCGGACAAGTAAACTCCAGTAGAAATTGATGCGTCATTTCGAGATTGCGTCATGTTTACTGCTTGAGCTTGTCAAACCGGCGCCCCAGTTGCTCGGTGGAATCCTCCCCTGGTGCAACTTTCGGGGTCGACGTTATACCAATTAAATGGCGTTGCCAGGAATTGTAAACACAGCATAGTCTCCAGTTGAGATATACTTCGTACATTATGGGTGCTCAATGTTGACGGAATAAATAAATTTAATATAATTAAGTTTACAAATAGTTTGTTTAACCGGAGCATTAAAAGTCAAACACACATATATACAATGGCTGTGTGTTAAGGCCCTGAACTTATTACGTTTGCCACCGTGAGTCGTATGACAAATTTCTACATGCCCAGGAAAGAAATTGGTCTTTAGTAGCTGGATGTCGTAGTGGACGCTGTAGTTCTCGTTTACATATCTCTCGTATATGAGCCGGTCCATGGTGGATGTGAATTACGCCTGTAAGAAGTGTCGCTGATCAATTTTTAGCTCACTTTGACATGCGTTCGCAGCTGGAGCTATTGCCATCAGGGCGTGCGTCCGTCTGTCCGTGCGTCCTTTCCGCTCAACATTTTGGGCTACGGTCAACAATACTCAGGGAACCGTTTGACCCAATGTTGAAATTGGGTATAGTGTTACTGCCTATGCTCCCATACTTGAACGTCCTATTTTGGAGCACGCCGAGTCGAGCGTCAGCTTTCGAGCCACGGCGGTAATTTTTTGGCAATAAATGGGAATTGCCATTGGTCAGTTCTATGTTCAAACGGATGTTTGCTCATTTTTGCGGTCTGTGATGATAAGGCCATTGAGTTTGAATTTTTAAATAGAAAAGTATTATGCAAATTAGGTAGATTTTTGGCAATTATATAGCATATAATGTTAATATCGAGCACGCAGATAAACAGGTCTGGTTGGTTGATCACTGTCTGCGTGTCGTTTTAGCAAGATTTCATTTTGACAGTATCTGTTAATGGAAAATTGAGTAATTTTGTCTCTCCACACCTGCTTCTGATAAAACTTCTATATAGAGTAAAGTTTTTACAAAATGTCGAAACAGCGCATAACCTATTATTTAACGCCATCGCGTAAGAACACAATGGAGGGTATTAGCGCCATCTTACCGTCACAAATTGTTGATTCATTTTCGAGGCGTTTATAAAATTTTATTGGCGATATACAGATGCGCAACCGTGGCATTACCGCTAGAAAACTCTACGAAGTTAAACATTCATGTCCGCAACCATTGAACTTTGAACAAAAGTTGTGTTTATGGGCAGTGGAAACACTTTGTCACAGTAGGTATTTGATAGCAGCTACGTGGAATAAGCGTTATCTCTCAGATCTTATCATGGTCACCACATCGGGACGCTTCGGCGTTTAGGCAGTGCCTAAAGTCTGAAATTACTAAAAACCTTTAAATGGCGATCGGTTTAAGTGTAACGCCATCACTCGCCCACATTCTCAGGACATTTCGACATCTCATAACATGTTATTTTTTACATAGAAAACACTCTACAGCATAATTATATGACTCGATTGCTCCTGGGACGAGGGAACAGCCGACTAAAGATGCTGTTGCTTGGTTTGCATAAGAGCCATAACATACGACGCCATGTACCATCATGCCAGCAGTGGCAAGCACACATATGAGCTGTTTCAAAATCTCGGCCTGAACAGCACCCGATAGATGGTCAGCTAAATAGTATGCTACCGGAAATTTCCACGTGCCAGTTAACCCAACGACCATAAAAACAAGAGCTTCTGTCGCAACGCTGTCATGAGAGGAGGGCAGGAAATTTCCGCAATCAACAAAACCTGCATAGTTGCCAAATGTTGTGTCATATACGACTTCTTTCGTAAGTCCCATAGCATCAAACATGAGTGCACAATGTTTCTTCAGAGGGTCGGTAGCTGCCATCCCTTTCAAATGCTCGATTAACTCTGTTAGAAATCCTGGTTGGCAATTCAAACTGGCACTCCACTTGCGTATGATACTTGGATGTGGGAGATGCAGTTACTGCCTTAAGAAATCGTATGCTTGAGCACTATAAAAGTGGAGAGTAACTGCAAATTGTGTGCAATTTTTGTGTTTGCCTCTGATTTTTACAGTGTAACAAATTTCCAATTCTTTCATCTCGTCTCTTCACTTTCTGCTTGGCAACTTTCAACTCTTTACGAGCCTCTTGAAGAGCTTCTTGGGTGCCTTTAAGTTGTTCTTCAACAACACTTGGTGATGAGCAATAAGCATGTTCCTCCGAGATGGTGACTTTTTTTTAACATTGTTGAGTCATCATTGCTTTCCGCTAGTATCGAAAACGTTGTCTGTGTGTCACACTCGTCTGGTTCGTTTTACAAGATTTAATTGACAGTATCTTTATTGCAAAATTGGTATTTCCTCTCCACCCTGCCAATAAAACGTCTAGATTAGAGTAACTAAGTAATAAGTATTTAAGTTTTACAAAACATGTCGGAACGCAGCATGACCTATTTATTTCGAACACCATCGCTAAGAAACATCAAAGCGGGTATAGCGCCATCTACTGTCACAAATTGTGATTTATTTTGGCTCATAAATTATTGCGATATACAGATGGCAACCGTAAAACTCCGTAAACAGATGGCCTAGAAAAACTCATACGAAGTAAACACTTCCATGCAACCAATTAACCTTTGACAAAAGTTGTGTTACGGGCAGGGAAACACCATTGTCACGTGGTATATAGCAGCTACGTGGAATAAGCGTGTCCTCTCAATCTTACACGTTACACATCGGGAGCTCCGCTTTTAAGCAGTGCCTAAATCTTAATATTATAAAAACGTTAAATGGCGATCGTTTAGGTGTAACGCCATCACTCGCCCACATCTCAGACACATCTCAAACATTTATTTTCACATAAAAAATTACACATATAATTATCAAGAGTATATAATGGGTGTTCTCCCATATATACTCTTTGTTTCTATAATGTACCTCGATGGTTGCTCAACTAAAACTGACTTCTTCTCACTCACTCATTTGTGTCATTTTTTGTGGTGAGCTACAGTGTCATTGACACTTTCATTATTAACTGGCTGCCGTGGTCATCTTCTTCAGTCAGGTCTTGCTCCTGAAAGTGATCAGACACAGCGAGAAACACAGAGGCATTGACCTCTTCCAGTACTTCAAGCTGAACCTTTCTTATCACATCGTGCGATGTCCTCATTGGGTACGGAGTGCCTTTGATGTAGTCATGGTCAGCGTGTGTGCCACTTGTCAATGTTCTCCTGTGGATATTAACAACAATAAACATTAAAAAGTAAATATCAGTAGTAAAAGTAATGCTTGTGATAAATTGTTAATTTTTTTTGCATACATTTTATTTTTAAATACCTATGG